CCGTTTCTAGCATTCCAGGACAGCGCACAAATAATTCGAAGTAAAAATCCTTAAATATTTAAATTAGCTGCTATTCTCGTTGTTTCGTTCCCCAAACGGATTATCAGTTAAGCGCTCTCTCGGCAGAAGACACGGCAAAGGCTTCGGGAAAAACTTTACAAGAAGAAAAATTGTGCTAAATGAAAAAAAAAAAAATATGAGGAAAAACTGCACCTTCTTAGTGATCGGATTGATCGTGAACCAGTCATTTTTGTATTTGCTTTTTATCCAGTACTGACTTGCCAGTTGGATATCGCCCGCCGGATATCGCATCCCCTCATAATGGTTATACTCCTTTCGAGCGCATTCTGTAAATCTGCCAAATTGAAGTTCCGTTTCGATTTAATCCAATGTAATTCACAGCCACACTTCTTCAAAACACGTTTAACTAGTTTTGTTCGGATATATCACTGATTCATCTTGTTTTTGCGGTAAAAATACACTGCTTTCTCTTAATTCAACACGCTACTCCTGCGGAAAACCAATTCCAGTAAGTTCTACACCAAAAGTAAGATGCAAGTGCTACCGCAGTGTCCCTGTGGGTGTCCTTTTCCCATGAAAACCACGGAGTGAAAGGAGTCAGACAAAGCTCAACAGAATCGTTATTACTTGCGCTACAGACCCGCACATGCCAACATTTTGCCCGGCAAGAAATTGAGGAAGAATTAGGGCTGGAAAAATTAAACTTTATTTTTAAAAAAATTAAGACTGATGAATTAGAAAACAGCATACCAATAATAACTCTGGCTGTTTTGCGATCCACACCGTATAGCCTTTCATATGCTTCCTCCGCTTCCTTCTTTTTCCTTTCTTTTATCCGGCGCTTCCGACCAAACACCACTGGTTCTGTAATAACCGGAATATCCCTGAAAGAATTACTTTTTCAATTATATTGGAACAAAAACCTCTCCACACTTCACTCGTTCTACGGAAAGTAGAAACAATCGATTGCAGACGCTGTCAACAATTCCCTTTTCGAGAGTTGCTTAGAGATGATACCCTTCGATCCAGGACTGGCAGGAAGCGAAGTATCGGAAAAAGGTGAGTTCCAGTGGTCTCACAGT